ATATCACTGAGATTTTATTCGTTTTAATTAATATTTTGAATTACTGTTTATTATATTTTCTGTTTTAATTTTAATTTTAAAGTTTTAGTAATTTTGTTGTGTTTTTGTCATTTTTAGAAGTTTTCTTTTTTTAATTTAATACGTCTATACAGTGTTTGTAGTAATTTTATTTCGGTGTTGGTTATTTTATTAAATCAAGTTAAACTAAATTAAAATGAATAAATTAAAATAGTTTGGTTGAAATCAGTTTTTTTTTTTTACTATTTTATTCCAGTTAACATTTTATTTATTTTAAGTAACAAAAAATGTTTAAGGTTTTAGTTTATATTTTAATGTACTAACATAACTACAAAAAAATAAAAATAAAATAGAAATGAATAAAAATATATAAATATATTTAAAAAAAAATTATAAAAATGACAAAACATCTGTTACTTAAAATATATATACTTAAATATATGAAAAAGTTAAACCATGTTTGGTTATTAAATAAGGGTAAAATAAACTAAAATAAATAAAGTTTGGTTGAAATAAAAAAAGTTGCAGTTTTTATATTTCATTTTATTCCAGTTAACGTTTATTTTATGTCAAGTAACAAAAATGTTTTAGTTTTAATATTAATTTTGATGTCCTATTTTAACATAGTTCACTATAATAACCCTGTTTTAAAGTAAATCCTAAACCAGTTTTGTTTCAGTGTATATCGTACATAAGTTTAGATTCATTTCACTAAATGATGAACCCAATAGCATGTATTTTTATTGTTCACATCATCCATCCATCTAGTTTGACCTGATGTACTAACATAAAACTAAAACTAAAATGAAAATAAATAAATAAAGCTATAGACATAAAAAACCTAATGAAAATGGCAAAACATTCAAATAAAATAAAAGTTAACTGAAATTAAATAAAATACATAAAATCCATTCATCCGTACATACATCTCAGAAAAGAGGGAGCGCGAGACTCTCAAATGACTGGAGATCGACCACGTACTGTCCGACCCTGCATTCACGTCCACCTGCGGCAGATTGAGCGCTGGATCAAACACAGAGGAGTGTGTTAGTGGAGGAGACAACAGCAGTACAAACACAAGCAGGGGCGGATTTAGTGAACTGGGTGGGGGCCCCAGGCAAAATATAGGAATGGGGCCCTATACATTTGCACACATTTTCCTAGATCAGCCTCGAGGTTCCTTTTTTGTTGTGATGCTTGCTGCTGCACAATGGTGCCCCATAGTTGTGTCCAATGTTTCTACATTTTTCATGTACATGTTATAATGGCTTTCTTTCATGTTGTAGACCACGAAATAGCAACTGATTTACAGATGAGATACAGGTTTTCACAAAAACAAAATAAATTATAAAATGATAAACCTCACAAATGAGCCTTTAAACCATTTTTTTAAAGAAAAGGGATGAGTCAGAAATATAAATGATTATATTAATTTAAAACGGGGTTATGTGTGTGCAGTTTCGGTCTAAACAAAAACTGCAGATGGGATTATTGAAAATGCACATTCATTCTCTGCCAGCAGGAGGCGCTTTTGGAACGCCAGAAATATAGCGGTTTCCCCGGTAACGGCTATAAACAAAGCAGAGCTCCGCTCATAAACGCTACTTTATCAGATAAAATTAAAATGCCTTCAAAACTTTTCTGAAGACAGTCAATTCCCTTCAGAGATTCATTCATATAATATCTTGAATTAGTGAGAATGAGAAAGTGTGAAAAAATATTCTGACGAGGAAAGTCCACTGATGAGTTACCAGCATAAGCCTATGTGCCTGGGCTCATACACTCTCCAAAGGCTGTCTAATTCTAAACTTGAAAATACATTTAATTTTAGTTATTTTAACTAAAAATTTTAAATGAAACAAAAAAAAAGAATGAAAAGGATATTATACATTTACATATCTAAGGATTGTATCAACCAAAAAAGTGTGTATATCTCATAAATGAGTAAGCGGCATTTAAAACAATAAACATGTAATAAGCACTGTTGCTCAATATTTAATTACAGCTTCAGATGCATGATATTTTCATTTGCTACAAGCAGGATACACAAGAAGCATGTTCAACTCGGACATGCAGATGGTTGTCGTGGTAATAAACACCGTAAACAGCAACCGTTCGAGTGTCCGCGCTTAATGCGCATCTCATATATGAAAAGCATTTTATGGGGCCCTTGGCTTTTGGGGGCCCAAGGCGGTCGCCTGCCTTTGCCTAATGGGTTAGTCCGCCCCTGAACACAAGAGCAGTGGCTGACTGATGGAGAGATGAGCAGAGACGATACCTGAGCCTGGACAGCCGTCCTCTGTCCCCTGTGATCGTGACCACATCAAAGCCCACTCTCCTGCCTCGCTCTCGGACCTCCTCCGTGTAGAAACCACTGACAGCGACGCCGGCCGAGACCACGGCATCGCACACTTCCTTCACCAGAGTGGTCTTACCCACACCTAGCAGAGGTAAACACGGTGTTTTACGGTCATTTGCCATCTTAAGTCACCATAAATGACTGCTTAACTGACAAATAAATGCACAGGAAATATTGATTTTGAATACTGAAATTTTCTCGCAATTCAGTTTTTTTCCATCACAGAATAAATTGAGACTTTTTATCTTGCAATGCAGACCATTTATTTGATCCAGGTTCTGAGTTTACACCTCACAATTCCCTTTTTTTTTGTTGCCACCATGTAATAAATTGCAACTTTTTATCTAACAATTCTGACTTTTTTCCTCGCAATTCTGAGTTTTTATATCTTGCAATTCGTATTTTTTTTCTCAGAGTTCTGAGTTTACATCTCGCTTTTTTTTTGCCACAGAATAAATTGACTTTTTTTTTGTCTCACAGTTCAGATTTTTTTTCTGCAATTGAGAGTTTACATTGCCAATTCTGAGTTTTTATCTCGCAATTCTGACTTTGTATCTCAGTCTCCAAATTGTGAGATTTAAACTCAGAAATGTAAAAAAAACCTAAAAGTTAGAATTGTTAGATAAAAAGTTGCAATTACCTTTATTTATATAAATAAATAAATAAATAAATATGAAATAAGTTTCCATAGTGAAGTGCTATGAAATTGGTTGCTTGGATCAGGGGTCAGAATACTGTTTTTATTTCATTTGCATATCCAAAGTACCTTGCTAATACCATCTGATACATCACTGTACCATGGTAACTCTAAAGTTTTGGTTTAAAATCAAAGCTGAGAGGGGCTGTTAATTTATTAGGCTATTTTAAAATTAAGAAAATGTTTTATTTATTAGTATATTATTAATTTAAAAACATGCAAAATCTATAAATGAATGTCCTCTATACTGTCTGTAAGAGTAACAATTTACTCCAAGGCTGTAGGTTTGATTTGGGCATTGGTGGGGACATAACAGCAGACAACAGACATTTAATTGTTTGATCAAAATTATTGCTAGGGACAATTTAGTAGTGGCTGGATGTCATAGCATCTCTACAAAATTCTACACCCTTGAAAATCTATAAAACTTAAATATGAAGAGGTCAAGCAACAGATTAATGAGTTAATCCAAATTTCACAAAAAAGCTTATGGACGTAATTATAATATAAGTCAGACATTGAAGTGAGTTGCTGTTTTTGTCTCTTCTGAGGAAGATTCATTCACTTGTTTTGTACCCACACAGAGAAATTTTGGTTAATGTTGATCTGATTGAGTTAAACCATGGTAACCACAAATTAACCATGGTTTTGCTACACTAACCATAGTTGAACCATGGTATTTGTAGTAAAACTGTGGTTATACAAAAAAACAAACAAAAAAAAAAAACAAACATGGTTACTACACTTTATAATAAACCATGGTTAATTTTCTTAAGGGATTTGTATTTGTGTATTCTTTCTTTCTTTCTTTTTTCTTTGTTTTGTTTTTATAACTGCACTGCCTTAATGGTCTTATGTTTTGTACTGTTTAACAACAAAAAAAAACCGCGAACCCGCACCGAAGTCCCGATCTGAATCAAATGATTCGCGATACGCGATCCGATTGGAGCGCTTCGAAACAGTGAATCATTTTGTGACGCAATGGTTTAACTGATTCGGAGTTTATAAATGTCGAAATTCTAAAATGAATGTCTCAGTCTTAACTGTTTTTTGCTAGTGAATCGCTTGAACTGAATGATCGACGTCACGAGTTTGAACCAATCGGAGCGGTTCCAGCGTAAATGACTCACTCAATTGAATCGGTTCGTCTGTTTCTCCGCTACTTACTACTGGCTTAGCTCGCTAGTTTTATGACATTAAAGGGGTCATATGATGCTTTTTTAAAGATCATTATTTTGTGTATTTGGTGTAACAGAATATGTATTATATATGTATATTTATCAAATATATATTATACAACATTTCTGTTATGTTTAAAGATTTAAGTGTATATACAGGGCATCTTTTTTGTAAGAAAAGCATGAGGCATGTAATTTAAAACAAATATTAATTCAATCTAATCCACATTCCCGTTTTATCCCACTTAACACTGGTTCATTAGTCATTTATCAATGGATTCAAGGCTCTGATTTGGAAACAACCGTGTGCTTATTGCTGTAACAAATTATTGTTTATTTGCTGTTTCACAAATTATGAAATATATGAATTAACAATAACATTTCTTAAATACATATCAAAAGCTGCATTTGTTAAAACAGAATGACCACACAAAATTATATACAGTATATATAATATCTAACATGAGCCAACAATTGACAGTTGAACTTTTATTAATTAATGTTCACAAAGATAAATACTGTAACAAATGTATTGCTCTTTGCAAGTTAATGTATTATATATGTATATTTATCAAATATATATTATACAACATTTCTGTTATGTTTAAAGATTTAAGTGTATATACAGGGCATCTTTTTTGTAAGAAAAGCATGAGGCATGTAATTTAAAACAAATATGAATTCAATCTAATCCACATTCCCGTTTTATCCCACTTAACACTGGTTCATTAGTCATTTATCAATGGATTCAAGGCTCTGATTTGGAAACAACCGTGGGGTCGGGTGAGTATCCCTCGGTTGTGTTTAGGCTCGTGAAGTCATCCTGATACTCTTCTTGTCCGTAGGAGCCATTACTGCTCGCTCTACTATCTCCTCTCTGGAAGCCAAGATTTGAATCATGAATAGATGAAGCTGAATGCTGGTCACTGCACTCTGAATACTGACTTGGAATATGAACTTGAACTTTTTTGTCTTTCTCAGTCAAATGACGTTCCTCATTTGGCGCACTTGTGATGTGTTTTCCAATACTTGGTTTTGTTTGTGATTTTGATGGAGTTTCAGTTGGTGTTGGGTGCATATCAAAACTGCGTATTAATGTTTCAACAGTTTCATCCGAACAAACACCTCTTCTAGCTGCCTTACGAACACGTTTATGGTCAGATGATGATGGCTGGTCTTGTTTTGCATCCTGGTATTCGATGCATTCATGCCTTTTGGTACCTGGTTTGACCAGTTTGAGTCTGAGACGAAAAGTGTTTGTCAAGCCGTATTTAAGCGTCTTCTTAAGTTGCAATTTTTCTTTGCTTCTCTTTGCACTCTTTACTGCTTTCATCTTGCATTGATCAAGTCTCTGTTTAGGGTTTGTTTTCTGATTCTCAGCTTTGGGTTTTACTCCTGATGGCTCCTGTGCTGATGTGTACAACCACGCCAGGTTAGGATGAACCGATAAGGCCTGCTGCTGCTGCTGCGCCGTCTGGACGTTCAGCTGTGAGAGTTCAACTAGTAAAGCGTTCAGCAGGGGTAACTGTCTGATAACATCCCCAAATGAAGCTGAGTCCGTCTCTTTATGTTGCTGCGACTTTGGAGTTGAAGTTAACTTGCTCGATCCGTCTGCCTTTACAGCCATCATCTCTGCAAAATCACGCATGTCAGATGATTCTACTTCATTATTTCCATCTTCTGGATCCTCTATATTAAGGCTCTCCATTGCTGCAAATAACCCCGTAAGGCCTGAAATAGGAAATAGTTATATTTTGAAATGGAATGTTTTTTGTCGAGTATCAAAATTGATACATCATCAGGCTCATATATACACTCTAAAAAATGCTGGGTTATTTCAACCCAACTTTGGGTCAAATATGGACTAACCCAACTTTTGGGTTAAAAATGTAATGTAAAAATGTAAACCAACGGTTGGGTTAGTCCATATTTGACCCAAAGTTG